CACAATCATGTTCATGGTGGTGGTGGTGGTGGTGGTGATGATGATGATGCTGCTGCTGCTGCTGATGATGATGATGATGATGATGGTGGTGGTAGTGGTGGTGATGAGGAGGAGGAAGAGGAGGAGGAGGAGCAGGAGGATGAGGAGGAGGAGGATGAGGACGAGGACCAGTGCAAACCCAATACCCATCAACGATGTCAGAATAAGCCCTCCTTCCAAGCTCCCTTTTCATAGGCCCCTGGATTCACTTCCACTGAGGGAAGTGTCCCGTTTGGAGACAACCGTTTGAAGTTTCCGAAGCGTGCCACATTCTCGGAACATCAACGCCACGAATCAACTTGACTGTTGCGTCATGACGATCCTGAGTCGTGCCAGAACACCCTTCCTGGGACTTCAACATCGTGAATCAACGTGCCTGTTGCGCCTTGACGAGCCCGAATCTTTCCAAAGCGCAATTCCTGGTGCGTTAACCATGGGAATCCGTCAAACTCTTGCCACTGTTTAAAGCGAATGTGTGGCGCCAACCACATTTTGAAAATTGTCCTCCATCAATCCGTGAAGATCTTGCAACTTTTAAGACGAACGTACGCAGCGCGAAGGCGAGAGACGCATTTTGGAAACCGCCCGCCCTCAATCCGTGAAACTCTTGCCAGTGTTTATGACGAATGCGCGCGGCGCTGAGGCGAGAGCCACATTTTGAAAACCACTCGCCCTTCGGTGGGTGAAACTGTTGCCAACTTTGAAGCTTCAGGACCATAAGCGGCATGGAAGTCTCAGGCGAAACGCCCGGCCCGCCTATCCGACGGATCTCGGGGTGCGACAGGGAGGAGTTATTCGCAGGGGAAGGGAATGGAGGAGGACGACGAGGAGGAGGAGGAGGAGGAGGAGGACAAACGCTACAGCTTCACGCTCAGGTTGGTCTAACGTAGCAAAAAGAGGAGGAAAAGGATGAGGAGGAGGTGGAGGAGGAGGAGGAGGAAGATGACGACGACCAGTGCAGACCCAACATGCATCAACGATGTTGCACCACCCCGTCCTGTCTCACGCTCCGTCCCCAGAAGTCCCCAGAGTGGCCCCTGGATTCTGCGGAGAAGGCCCCCCGCCCCCGGAAAGACCCGCGCCTCGTGTTCCTGCAGGTCAGGCGACCGTCCCCGTTTTGAAGGAAAAGGAGCCGCCGTCAGGGAGGAATGCTCATACAGTGGAATGAGAGTCCGGCTGTGAGAAGTAACCGCCATCCGTCCGTAAAACTGTGGCTCCTTGCCAACATTTTTGCCGTCACATCCAGTACGGAAGTCTCAGTAAAACACCCCATTTGAGGAACAGGCCGTTCTCCATGTACACCTGTATGTCTTTGGCAATCGCATTCGGAGGAGTTTCAGGCGAGGGAGCTCCACTATGGAAGCGAGCCGCCTTCCATCCATGTAGCTGTGGGAAGTTGTTAAGACGATTTCGCGTGGCGCCAATGCGGGAGCAACGCGTTGAATACGACCCGCCCTCCACCCTTGTACTTGTTGGATACATGTTCAGATAATTCTGCGCCACGCTACGGCGAGGGCCACGATTTGAAAATCACGTGCACTGCATTATTGTAAACAGTTGTCGGATGCTTGAAGATTCGGGTGATGCTTCCCAGCGTGGAAGCCCAAACAGTAATTCATGGCGCTATGGAAGCTTACTGCATGCGGTGGAAACCATGTGGTGCAATCTACGCGGCCCAGAGCTACGTATGTGGTTCGAGCTATGTGATGCAAACTGAATGGTGCAGTCCATGCGGTGCAGCCTGTGGTGTAAGCTGCATGGTGCAAGGTATGTTGTGACAGGCGGGGAGGGGGCGAGGAGAAAGGACGAGGAGGGGGGTAGGAGAGGTGGAATGGAGGGATGAGGAGGAGGAGGAGGAGGAGGAGGAGGAGGAGAAGGAAGAGGAGGAGGAGGAGGAGGAGGAGGAGGAGGAGGAGGAGGAGGAGGAGGAGGAGGAGGAGAGGGTGCAACTTGTGCGGTGCAATTCGTGCGGCCGCCCAGCTCACGAGGCGCCCGCGAGGCGGCCATTGGCGGCCACGGGCGGCCACCGGGCGAAGCTTCGCCGCATATCCACCCAGCGCACGAGGCGCCCGCACGGGCGAGCAGACGCTGTCTGGGGAACGTGGGCGGTGGGGATAGCACCGGTGACGCGCCACGTCCGCCCTGCTGACACGTGTGGTGGTGCGCCGAGGTGGATGGACGGATGGATGGATGGTGATGCTGATGATGATGATGACGCTGATGCTGCTGCTGATGATGATGAGGATGAGGATGAGGAGGATGAGGATGATGATGATGATGATGATGATGATGATGATGATGATGATGATGATGATGATGATGATGATGATGATGCTGTGGTGATGTGATGCTGCTGCTGATGATGAGGGTGAGGATGATGATGCTGATTATGATGATAATAATGTGTTGTTGTTGTGGTTGCGATTGTGGTTGTTGTCGTCGCCATCGTCGTTCAGGTTGTTGCTGCTGCTGCTGCTGCTGCTGTTGTTGTTGTTGTTGTTGTTGTTGTTGTTGTTGTTGCAGTTGCTGTTTGCTGTTGTTGAGTTCTCATATCTGAAGAATAATTATTGTTGATCCCCCCCCACCGGTGCATATTGTTTTTTCTCAATCAAAGTGTGCCCCTCGACGCTCGCACCCTGTTTTTTGATAGGGAAAGTCTTCCTGCTCAAACCCGGCCCCTGGCCCCCGGGTTACAACAATAACGGCTCCCGCTTGAGACTTCCTTACAATTTAGCCAGGACCCCCGCTCCCGCCCGAGACCTCCTCGCATTTTATTCAGGAATCGCGCTCTCGCTTGGGACTTCCTTATAATTTATTCAGGAATCGCTCTCCCGGCGCTCTGGAGTCGCGCTCTCGCTGGAGACTTGCTTGGAACTTACTGAAGAATGGCCTTGCGTTGGAATTTCCTGCAATTTGCCCAAGCGCCGCGCTCCCGACACCCAGGCACCCAAGAGTCGCGCCCGTTGTGGCCCCATGTGCATGCCCTTCGTGGCCCCGCTGTCGCCATTTGTGTCCCCCTCACTGTCCTACGTGGCCCAGTTGCTACCCTCAGTGGCCCCATAGTTGCCTTCTGTGGCCCCGCATTATCTGCACTTCGTGGCCCCCGCTCGTTCGCGCTCTTCGTGGCCCCATACGCATTCCCTTCGTGTCCCCGCTGTCGCCCTTCGTGGCCTACTTCGTGCCCTTCGTGGCCCTGCTGTCGTTCTCTCTCGCTCTCGCTTTCGCTCGTTCGTCGTCGTCGTCGTCGTCGTCGTCGTGGTCGGTCCCCTGTCCGTCCCTCTTGGGGTCGGGTCGACGGTCCGCGGCCGCCCCGCCGATCAGCGCTGCCGCTGGCCAGACCGACGGTCCGCGGCCGCCCCGCCGCTTGCCGGGACCCGGCCTGCAGGGAAGAAAGGTATACCCCCCAAAAGGGGTTCGATCGAAGACGAAGAGGGCGGGTATCGAGGGTTTGGGACAGTCGAGCATATAAGGGCGAACAGTCTTAAACTTATTGTTGTTGTTGTTGTTGTTGCCGCTGTTGCAGTTGCTGTTTCTGTTGTTGTGGTGGTGGTGGTTCTGGTTGTTCTTGGTGGTGATGATGATTGTGATGCTGCTGCTCCTGAAGCTGTTGATGACGATAACGATGACGATGACAATGCTGATGCTGATGACGCTGCTGCTGCTGCTGCTGATGATGATGATGATGATGGTGGTGGTGGTGGTGATGATTCTGGTAATATTGATGATGGTGATGACGACGAGGATGATGAAGAGGAAGCGGATGAGGATGAGGAGGAGGATGAGGAACAGGAGGAGGACGAGGACGAGGACGAGGAGGAGTAGGAGGAGGAGGAGGACGGTGAGATTCAGCAGAAGGAGGAGGAGGTGGAGGAGGAGGCGGAGGAGGAGGATGGTGATGATGATGATGATGATGATGAGGAGGAGGAGGAGGAGGAGGAGGAGAAGAGGGAGGATCAGGAGGAGGAGGAGGGTGAGGAAGGGCGAGGAGGAGGAAGAGGAGGAGGAGGAGGAGGTGGTGGAGGCGGGGTAGAAGACGGAGCAGGAATGGGCTCAGGAAACGGAGGATGATGATGGCACGTAGTTAGAGATTTGGTTTCGCCGTGCGGAGGAGGCCTACCCGAAGGCTGGCGAGAACCAGGGCGTCTGCGAGGCTCGCGAGAAGGCGCTCATGAAGTGGTGCGGTACGTCGGAGGTGAAGATGCTGTTCGTGGCGGCGAGGGAGGGACGTGGGAGCGTTGTTTCTGACTCGAAGAAGCATCGCATACGGTAGGTCCGTATCGTGTCATCTCGGCGGCGGTCGCACCGCGGGCGTTCAAGGATGAAGGCTTCCAGCGGCCATTCGTCCAAAATTGAACGAGCTGCGCTTTCGAAGAACTGGGTCGTTCAAGGTTGAACGATCCCCGCGGTGTCGGATACCAAAGCGTGAGTCGTCACGATATGAAGTTGTCGTGAACATAAGCTCTCTCGGAGGTCCGCGCGGATTTCATGGGCCGGCGCTGGGGCCCTTTTTGGCAGTACCTCCGAGTGCCGCACTTCCCGAGCGCGGCGCACCTGCTGTCTGTAATGGTTCCAGCTGGCTGTCCATCGCATGGCGACCAATACCTGTGCTGAGTCCTGGGTGCAACTTGCGTATGTGGTGTGAGGGGCGGGCCGCAGTGAACGAGACAGCTTGCAGCGTTCCCGTTGGAAATTTGATCTCCGGCCCCCCGCCCCCCGCCCTCGCCACCTCACCTCGCCCCCCACCTCCACTGTATCTCCACCCCCACTTCCACCTCAACTTCCACCTCCACCCCGACCCCCACCTCCACTTCACCTCCATCACCGCCTCCACCCCCATCTTCACTTCTGCTACCTTCATCGCCTCCGCCTGAGCATCTGCCTCAACTTCCGCCTCCGCCTCCATCTCCTCCTCCTCCTCCTCCTCTTCCTCATCCCTTCCTTTGCACTGTTACCTGCATCTGAACCTGCACCTGCTCTTTCACTTGCACCAGCACTTTCACCTGCACCTGCGCCTGCGCCTGTACCTGCACCTACGTCTGCACTTGCACCTGCACCTCCAGCTCCATTTTTTCTTGCACTTCCACCTCTTCTTGCGCCTCTACCTCCACTTTTACTTCCACTTGCACGTTCGCCTCCACCGCCACCTCCCCCACCTCCGCATCCGCCTCTGCCCCCGCCCCCCGCATCCATCCCCACTTTTCCCTCCACGTCCACTCCCAACCCCCACTTGCACCCCTCGAAACCCACTTTTCCCTGCGCTTCCTGGCCCAGCGCCACCAACTTTAGCTCCACCTCTGGTTCCGCTTCTGGCTCCGCCTCTGGCTCCGCCTCTGGCTCCGCCTCTGGCTCCGCCTCTGGTTCCACCTCCACTGCACCTCCACGCCCGCCGGCCCCAACTCCAGCTCGGCCTCCGGCTCCTCCTCAGCCCCCAGCGCTGTGCGCTCTGGGACCCTGGGCAGCACGACGTGCTCGCGGACGAGGGCTCCGAGGCAGAGCAGGCCGAGCAGGAGAAGTACGGCTCTCCTGTCAGCGGGCCCACCGGCGCAGGCGGCTCCCTGTAGCAGGGCAGCGTTAGGGGGGATAGGCTCAGGGGCGGATGCATCGACCCCCAGTCGCCCATTGCTCGCCGATAGGGGCCCGACAGCCCACCCCGCCCGGGACCGCGCGGCTTCGCTATCGGGAGCCTTTCACCGACCTATCGGCGATGTATCGCTGGCTCCAGCTCGATGCTTTCCCCCCTGAGCTGGTCCCCCCTTGAACTTTGACCCTCACTTTTCTCTGCCGCCTCTCTCTCCATGTCTCCCTTGAGGGGGAGGGCGTCAATCTGCGCTCTGTCTCTCTCTCTCTCTCTATCGCCCTCTCTCTGTCTCTCTCTCTGTCTCTCTCTCTCTCTCTCTTTTTGCTTTCTCTATCTCCCTATCTCTTTCTCATTTTTGGTTTCCCCCGCATCATACGTAAATGGAGTTCTCGTTTTCTCTCGACACGCCAGCGCAGGAACCAGCGCACACCCATGTCATCATCACCATCACCATCATCGTCACCATCACCATCACCATCACCATCACCATTGCCGTTACCATCACCATCACCATCACCATCACCATCATCATCACCATCACCATCGTCTACATCATCATCATCGTCATCATCATCATCATCATCATCATCATCATCGTATTCATCACCATCGTCGTCGTCTTCGTCGTCGTCGTGATCATCACTACCATCATCAAATTCATCGATCACCTACCATCGCACCATCATCGTCGTCATCATCATCAGCAGCATCATCATCAGCATCAGTATCGGCATCGGCATCGGCATCAGCATTAGCATCACCATCACCATCACCATCACCATTATCATCATCACCATCATCAGCATTATCATTTACATGACCATCACCATCACCATCATCATCAACATCATCATTATTATCATCATCATCAATATGAGCATCATCCTCACCACCACCCGCAGCATCAGCATCATCAATAGCGGATCTTCAGCATCAGCATTATCATCATCAACAACACCATCAACATCATCATCATCATCATCATCATCATTACCATCAGCATCATCACCATCAACACCATCATCACCATCACCATCATCATCATCGGCATCGGCATCGGCATCGATATCATCACCACCATCTTCATCAACATTTCCATCACCATCACCATGACCATCACCATCACCATCACCATCCCCATCCCCATCTCCATCCCCATCACCATCACCATCACCATCACAATCACCATCATCATCACCACCATCATCATCAGCATCATCATCATTTTCATTGGAAAAACTCACGCGCTCACTCAATCACCCACACACTCATATAGAAGATGTCTCGAGCGGGAGCCTCGTCTGTCAGTGAATTGTGAGGAAGTCTCAGGCGGGAGCCCCCCCCTCCCAATGGGCCCCCCACTTTATGTTAGTAATCCGAGCGTGTCATCGGAAACTAGTAACCGTCGTCGTTTTTGGGCTCCCGATGCCTGAACATGGAGGACGTCTCGAGCGGGAGCCTCGTCTGCGAGTGAACTGCGAGGAAGTCTCAGGCGGGAGCCCCCCTCCCAATGGGCCCCCCACTTTATGTTAGTAATCCGAGCGGGCCAGCGGAAACCTGTACTCGTTGTCACTTTAGGGCTTCTGAGGCCTGTATCTGGAGGAAGTCTCGAGCGGGAGCCTCGTCTGTGAGTGAGCAGCGGGAAAGTCACAGCCGAGAGCACCCTTCATACGGGCCCCCTGCTTCATATTAGTATTCCAGGCGGGTCATCGGAAACTTGTACCCGTGGGTCGTTGAAAGTATGTGTTTTTGGACTTCCAGGTCCCAATCTACTTTAGGCGCCTCTTCTTATTTCAATTATCGAATGGTTTCCCCTCTTTCTTCCTCGTCACGGGGCGGGCGGAAACCCAATATATTTTCGCCGCCTTTCTGCTTCATGCTTACTTCCGACCGACGGGTAGCCGTCGTCACTTTTGGGCGATTGAGGCCTGACTTTGGAGGAAGTCTCGAGCGGAAGCCTAGTCTGTGAGTGAGCTGCGAGGACGTCTTAGGCGGGAGCAGCAGCAGCAAGCAGCAAGTCTGGCCGGGCTACTCAGAGAGCCGCTCGCCCCATTAATGGGGACGAACATGAGGACTGTGAAACAACCGACTACCTGTGCACAGTGTATGAATAACACCCCTCGCATCAGACATAATGTTCGGCACAGTACGGTTGCGCCCCCGACGGGGCAACCTGGCGACCAAAATATCAAATTCCTTTATCACCGGAGGATGAAGAGGGAGGAGGGAGGAGGAGGAGGGGGGGAAGAGGAGGGCGGTGGGATGGCCGTCACTGTGTGTTCATGAAGTCCACGTACTCCTGCTCGTAATTAGCCCACTGGAAATTCCCGCCAGTCTGATGAACTCTGTGTAAAGATGTTCCCATTCCGGAAAGGAACAAGTTGATGCTGCCGTGCCACCTCGTCCGTGGTCGGCCTCTCCTGCGGACATTGTCGGGTATCCACCGCATGACTATGGACGGCCAAGAATCCCAGTCCGTATTGCCCCCTCCGTAATGCCCCCCCGCCCCCCCCAGTCATGCTAGCAATCCGAGCGTGTTATCGGACACCTGTAGCTGTCGTCACTTGTGGGCTCCTGAGGCCTGAGTATGGAGGAAGTCTCAGGCGGCGGCCTCGTCTGTGAGTAAAGTGGGAGGGAGTCTTAGGCTTGAGCCACCTTCATATGGGGCTCCCGCCACATGTGAGTTATCTGATCGGGTCATCGGAAACCTGTAGCTGTCGTCACTTTTGGGCTCCTGAGGCCTGGAAGTCTCGAGCGGGAGCCTCGTCTGTGAGTGAAGTCGGAGGAAGTCTCAGGCGGGAGCATCCTCCCTATGGGGCAACCGCTTCATGTTAGAAATCCGAGCGGGTCATCGGAAACTTGTTATTGTCGTCATGTTTGAACATATGAGGCGTGAGTATGGAGGAAGTCTCAGCGGGGGCCTTGCCTGTGAGTGAACATGGGGGAAGTCTCGAGCCGGAGCCTCGTCTGTGAGCGAATTCTGAGGAAGGCTCGAGCGGGATCCTCCGGGGCCCCACATCATGGTAGTAGTCTGGGCTGGTCGTCGGAGTTATGTAAATGTCGACACTTTTGGGCTCTTGCGGTCTGAGTATGGAGGAAGTCTTGAGCGGGAGCCTCGTCTGTGAGCGAGTCGTGAAGAAGTCTCGAGATGGAGCTCTCTCCCTATGGGGCCCCACTTCATGTTAGCAATCCGAGCCTGTCATCCGACACCTGTAGCTGTCGTCACTTGTGGGCTCCTGAGGCCTGAGTATGGAGGAAGTCTAAGGCGGCGGCCTCGTCTGTGAGAGAACATGGGGGAAGTCTCGACCAGGAGCACCCTCCTCGGGGGCCCGCACTTTCGTTAGTAATCCGAGCGAGGTCCCACAGGTCTCACAGGTCTCACAGGTCTCACAGGTCTCACATGCCCCACAGGTCCCACAGGTCGCACAGTTCGCACACATCTCAGAGGCACAACACAACACTGGCCCCGCAGGTCGCATAGGTCCCTATTATGTTTTGCCTTGCGCGCAAGTCCTACCTGCAGGTTGCACAGGTCCCACAAGTCCCACAAATACCATGGGTCCCACAGGTCCCACTGGGCCCGCAGGTCCCGCAGGTCCTACAGGTCCCACAGGACCCACATGTCCCACGGGCCCCATACGTATGTCTCACAGGTCCAACAGGTCCCACAAGTTCCAGGGGCCCCACTGGTCCCGCATGTCCCACAGGTCCCATAGGTCCCACAGGTCCCACAGGTCCCACAGGACCCTCAAGTTCCACAAGTCTCACAAATTCCACAGGGCTCACAGGTTCAACGAGCCTCACAGGTCGCACAGTTCCCACCAGTCCCACAGTTCCCAGAGGTCGCATTCTGATATCCCGGCATCCTGCCATCATCACCATCGCTAGTCGTCGAAGATTATGACACTCCTGCGCACTAAAGAGATCACCATGTGTGTTCCCTCAGTAGTAGTTTTTTGTTTTTTTGTTTTGGGGCCATCTTTCAATGTCTTGGGGCCATCTGGAATGGTCTCTGGGGCTGTCTTGAGGCTGTCTCGGTGCGGTCCTGGGCCGTCTCGAGGCCATCTGAGGGCCGTCTCGGAGGCCAGCAGTGGTCTTCTCGGGCCATCTTGGGGCCGGCTTGGGGGCCTCCTTGGCCTCCTGGGAGTCTCTGAGGATCTTCTCGGACCGTCTCGGAGGCGCCTGGAGCCCGTCTTGGAGCAGTCTGAACTCCCAAAGCGGCAATCTTTGGTTTCCGCCTCTCTGGGGTGCCCGCGGAACCAATTTGGAGCCTCTTGGAGCCATCTTGGGGCCCTCTTGAGCCCATCTTGGGGCTTCCTGGCGCGAGCCACAAGCCAACTTCGGCACTCCTGGGGCCTTCTTGGCCGCCGTCTAAGGCCTCCTCGGGCGGTCTGGGAGCCACTGCCAGGCCACTGCTCGCCGTGTGGAGTCGCCTTGAGCCGTCTTGGAGCCCCCAGGACGCCCACGGCGTCATCGCCCGGGCGGAAGGCGCGAGGAGGGCCTCCAGGAAGGCCCGAGGATGCCCATCATAAATTCTCCTTCGGTTTTGAAGGATTTTGGCATTCGCTTCTCTTCGGCCTGCCGACGGCCCGAGACGGCCCAGGAGCCCCGAAAGATCGCCCAAGAGGGCACCTCCCCTCCGTTCCTGACCGACCAGCAGCCTCACCACCAGGTCCTGTGCCGCCTTGCGCCCGTTCCGCTGCCGCAGGGGCAAGGGGGAATTTCATGCGCAGCTCTCCCATCGGCGGCGAGCGAGGGGGGGAAGTGAGCACGAGAAGGCCTTTGCAGAAGGCTCGGAAGTCCCCCAGCCTTCTGAGAAGTGTTCTGAGCCTTCCCCGAGGGCGCAGGCAACCTCTCGGAAGATGCAAGGGCTTCCGAGATGCCCCGCCGTCTTCTGAGAAGGCCTTCTTTTTCTTACTTCCCCCCGCTCGCCGCCGATCGAGAGCCAGGCCCTTTCTGTAACGCCCCACGTGGGCTGCTTCGAGGAGCTGTTCCCGGGCGTCCTCTGGCGTCGGCGGCGGGCTCTCCGCCGCCGTCGCCAGCGGCCCCTCCTTTTTTTTGAGAAGGCCTTCTCAGAAGCCCCGCCGTCTTCCTGAGAAGGCCTTCTCCCTCTTACTTGCCCCCCTCGCTCGACGCCGACTCCCAGTCCTTGAGGATTCGGGGGCATGGCCTGGGCACGCACGCGGCCAGACCCGTCGGCCCTTCTTGCAGCCGCCCTCGGAGGCCCAGCCGCCCCACCGACGAGCGCGCCTCCCGCAGAGGACTCTGCCAGGGCCAGGGGTCAGGACTCGGCCCACGGATTGCTGGATCTCGACGGGGGCCCAGCCGCCGCGACGAGGGGCCTCCTGGAGGCACTCCAGAGGGCCGACGGTGCCCCAAACCTGGATCCTCGATCGAAGGTCGCAGCCGCCGCCGCCGCCGCCTTGATGCCATGACTCCGTCGTCGTCGCCGCCGCAGCCGCGGTCATTCTCGCCGCCGCCGCCGTCGCCGTCGCCGTCGCCGCCGCCGCCGTCGTCGTCGTCGTCGTCGTCGTCGTCGTCGTCGTCGTCGTCGTCGTCGTCGTCGTCGTCGCCGTCGCTGTCGCCGTCGCCGTCGCCGCCGCCGCCGCCGTCGTCGTCCTCGCCGTCGTTGTCGCCGTCGCCGTCGCCGTCGCCGCCGCCGCCGCCGCCGTCGCCGTCGCCGTCGCCGTCGCCGTCGCCGTCGCCGTCGCCGTCGCCGTCGTGGCTCCCTGGGAGCGCTCGGGGGAATCGACGTCGTCGTCGTCGTCGTCGTCGTCGTCGCCGTCGCCGTCGCCATGGCTGTCACCGTCGCCGTCGTCGTCGCCGCCGCCGTCGTCTCCGTCGTCGTCATCGTCGTCGTCGCCGTCGCAGTCGTCGTCGTCGTCGTCGTCGTCGTCGTCGTCGTCGTCGTCGTCGTCGTTTCCTTCGCCGTGGCCGCCGTCGCCGTCGCCGCCGCCCGTCGCCGCCGCCGCCGCCGTCGTCGCCGCGTCGTCGTCGTCGTCGTCGTCGTCGTCGTTGTCGCGTCGCCGTCGCCGCCGCCGCCGCCGCCGTCGTCGTCGTCGTCGTCGTCGTCGTCGTCGTCGTCGTCGTCGTCGTCGTCGTCGTTGTGGTCGTCGTCGTCGTCGTCGTCGTCGCTGTCGCCGTCGTCGCCGTCGTCGTCGCCGCCGTTGTCGCTGCCGTCGCCGTCGCCGTCGCCGTCGCCGTCGCCGTCGCCGCCGTCTCCGTCGCCGTCGTCGTCGCCGTCGCCGTCGTCGCCATCGTCGTCGTCGTCGTCGTCGCCGTCGATGTCGTCCTTGCCATTGTCGCCGTCGTCGCCGCCGCCGCCGCCTTGATGCCATGACGCCGTCGCGGTCGCCGCCGCAACCGCGGTCATTTTCGCAGCCGCCGTCGCTGTCGCCGCTGCCGCCGTCGCCGTCGCCGTCGCCGTCGTCGTCGTCGTCGTCGCCGTCGCCGTCGCCGTCGCCGTCGCCGTCGCCGTCCGTCGCCGTCGCCGTCGCCGCCGCCGCGTCGTCGTCGTCGTCGTCGTCGTCGTCGTCGTCGTCGTCGTCGTCGTCGTCGTCGTCGTCGCCATCGCCGTCGCCGTCGCCGCCGCTGCCGCTGCCGCCGTCGCCGTCGCCGCCGCCGCCGCCGTCGCTTTCGCCGTCGCCGTCGCCGCCGCCGTCGCCGCCGCCGTCGCCACCGTCGCCGTCGTCGTCGCGTCGCCGTCGCCGTCGTCGCAGTCGTCGCCGTCGTCGCCGCCGTCGTCGTCGTCGTCGTGTCGTCGTCGCCGTCGTCGCCGTCGTCGCCGCCGCCGCGGGCATTTTCGCCGCCGCCGCCGTCGTCGCCGCCGTTTGCCGTCGGCGTCGACGTCGCCGTCGTCGTCGTCGTCGTCGTCGCCGTCGCCGTCGTCGTCGCCGTCGCCGTCGCCGCCGCCCGCCGTCGCCGTCGCCGTCGCCGTTGTCGTCGTCGTCGTCGTCGTCGCCGTCGTCTTCGTCGTCGTCGTTGTCGTCGTCGTCGTCGTCGTCGCCGTCGCCGTTGCCGTCGCCGTCGCCGCTGCCGCCGCTGCCGCAGTCGCCGTCGCAGCCGCTGCCGCCGCCGTCGTCGTAGCCGCCGCCGCCGTCGCCGTCGCCGTCGCAGCCGTCGCCGCTGCCGTCGTCGTCGTCGCCGTCGCCGTCGTTGTCGTCGCCGTCGTCGCCGCCGTTGTCGCCGTCGGTCGTCGCCGCCGCCGTCGCCGTCGCCGTCGCCATCGCCGTCGCCGTCGCCGTCGCCGTTGTCGTCGTTGTCGTCGTCGTCGTCGTCGTCGTCGTCGTCGTCGCCGTCGCCGTCGCCGTCGCCGTCGCCGTCGCCGTCGCCGTCGCCGTCGCCGTCGCCGTCGCCGTCGCCGTCGCCGTCGCCGTCGTCGTCGCCGCCGTCGCCGTCGCCGTCTCTGGTGTTGTCACCGTCGTCGTCGCCGCCGTCGCCGTCGCCGTCGCTGTCGTGTTCGTCGTCGTCGACGTCGCCGCCCTCGCCGCCGTCGCCGTCGTTGTGCATCCGAGATTGTCATCAGTGCAAGCGATGCCGCCACTTCTCCGCAGCTTCTGCGTCCAGCCAAGGGAACTGGGCAGCCCTTTGATGGGCCAGTTCCTCTCGGAGGCGTGCCTAGGGTTTGTCCGCGACCTCACCATGCAGTTGCTGCCCGCCGAGAGAGCCCGCGCCGCTGCGGTGGGGCTCCTGGGCTGGTACGCCGCGCCCGCTCTTGTGGGCGAGGAGGTGGTGAGCGCTGCCTGCGAGGGCTGGCGCACTGCCTCGGTGGGTTGCGAGATACGGTTCGACCTCATCGTGGAGGGTACCGCAACAGGAGTCTCGGCGCCCGTGCGTTGCTACTTGTAGCGCCGCTCTTCGTCCTCGCGTGCTGCTGTCCTCGTGAGCATCACCGATGGGGCGATTTGGCGTGAGGCCTCCCGCCTGGTGTCGTGGCGGTGTCCAGCCTGGAGGCTTCGCACTCGTGAAGTACGCGGAGGAAGCGACGTGGCACACTCGTCTCCTGATTCGAGCGGTGGGCGAAGCGACGCTCTGGTGGTTTATCCTCGCGGCGGACGGCGACTGGTACGTTGAGCAGCTGCAAGCATGTGAGGGGAGCGACGCCGTGGCGGTGAAGGTGGAGGGCCCTGGCGGTGCAACGCCTCATGGCATCCACCTGGCGCGGGTGTACTGCTGTGATCCGCCGCCGCCAGTGTCGGTGTTGGCTGCCGCCCGACCTGCCGCTCGCCGTGGCGGCCGAGCCAAGAGGCGCTGCCGCGCCGCGGAGCGAGGATGGGCGGCCTCCGCGTCTCCCCGCGCCGCTCGGCACGGTGTGGGTGTACGCCGAGTACCTCTACGGCCGCGAGAAGGGCGGTGGGGCGCCTCTCAACGCCACCGCGGTGGCCGCGGGCGACCGCGGGGCGATCGGGCGGGAGCCAGGATGCTCGATAGCCATCGCTCGAGTCGAGATCGGGGAGGAGGAGTTCAGGAAAGAGCGCGCGACGGAGGAGATGAAGCTCATCGGCTCTGAGACGGACGCGCGGGTGCTCCGAGTTCAGTGCGCTGCTGGATCGGGGACTCGCCACCGCTCTTGGAAGGATGTGGTGGAGGTTTCTCCGAGGTGCCACTGACGGACTGGCTGGTCGAGGGGCCCAGGACCGTGCCTTGGTGCGTGGCGTTCCTGGGGCATGGCGCGCACGGAGGCACCCCGCTGGATCGTGGCCGCTGGTGGAGGCATGCCGCGAAGCCCGATGCCAGCGACTGGGGGCTGCTCGATCGCGAGTCAGTGATGAAAGCGCTCACCCACGCAGGGTGCTAAGACCAGGTGGGCATCGCTAATCTGGCTTGCCTGGAACAGCTGTGCCGTCGAGCCCAGCTCATCGAGTACCACTACCGGGAGAAGGTGAGGGAGAGCGACAGGAACTCGTTCGGCAAGACGGCGCTGGCCCTCGACGAGCAGGATATGTTCATGGGCGAGGGCCGTTGTGGTGGAATCGTGATGTGTTCGCCCGCTCTGATGGAGCAGGTCGCGAAGGAGCTCGAGGGGGGGGCCTCGATCGCCAACCAGGCGCGCCAGGCTCGCGAGGAGCGCGCCCCACGAAGTCATGATGGAGCCGCGGCCGCCGCTGGAAGCCCAGCAAGCGGCGGTCTTGGATTTGTTGCTGGGCTCGCGGGAGGTGACCGTCCCCGTGCAGCTGTGCAGGTCTCAGTTCTTTCGAGTGGCAGGCGACGCCAGCGGGGCGTCTTCCCGCTGGCACGTGCATCCTCTATCAGCAAGAAGTTTCCGACTGCTGGCTCAAGGCGCCGCTATCCACGACTTTGCCGCACTTTGGGAGAGCTCGCTGGAGGCGGGGACCGCGCTGGAGTTTTTGGTGATGGTGCCGCTCCAGGAGGCGCCGCCCTCGCCACTGGCGGGCTCGTTGCGAAGGAGGTTATCGCTATGGGGGGGGGGGGGGCGCCGAAGGACCTGTCCCCTCGCGCCGCCTTCCAGGAGGTGGTGAAGTCCACCGACTACCACGGTGGGCGCGTGGGCGTTGCTGCTATCGATCTTGACCTCCTTTCGTTGCCCCCTGCTGGGCGCCGCCGCCCCATCCCTTTGGATGGCCCACTGGGGGATGGGAGCGCGCTGGAGATCGAGCATTTTTTGCAAGGGGCTCATCTTGCCAAGTGATGACGTGGCTGAGGTCAAAGCTTAGGTCAAAGCTTCGCTCGACCTGAGGCGGCCCCGCGTGGGCTGCGGACTCGCGCAGAAGCCGCGCCGCCTCGCCAAGCTGGTGGAGGCGCTCTTCTTGTGGGGTCTTATTGACTTTGGCACTGACGTGACTTGTGAGTGGGGACTGTTCGGGGCCTGGACAAAGCCGGGCAAGCAGAGGCTGGTGACCGACGCCCGCCTCTCCAACGCGCATCTCGGACCGTCGAGGGAGACCGCCCCCTGCGGGGGCAGCCTTCTCCGAGATCGAGCTGGCGGACTCTGGGGGCGCATGGTTTGCCGCCTTGGACCTGAAGGGTGCTTTCTACTACGTCCAGTTGCCTGTGGAGCTGCGACCTTTCTCTGGGTTGCCGCGTGTCAGGGCCAGCCACCTCGGTCTTTCTCAGCGCGTTGTGGATGGGGCCACAGACGGCTGGCTGCGACCGCGGTTCGCTGCGATGCCGACGGGTTGGGCGCGCTCTGTGCTGGGCCCAGCTTTCGCATTGTAGAGTTCTCGCCAGAGCCTTTGCGAAGTTCGATGTCAAGGGCTGCCTCGCGGACCGCCGAGTGTTGCCTTCCGTCAGCCAGGTAATCGTGGGGCTGTATGTTTACAGCTTCACTGCAGTTTGCGCCGCAGCAGCTGGGGCCGACAGACTGGTCGAGAGGGCCTTCGCTGCTCGTAAGGACGCAGGGCTACAGCCGCGCGAGGAGGAAAGCGCTACCCAGGAGCCGGAGGTGCTCGGCTGGAGGCTGCAGGGCGGTGCTCACGCTGGTGTGCAGCCAACTGTGCGACGGCGCTGGCGGCTGCGGCTGGCTCGGGAGCATGCCCATCACGCGGAACAGCTTATCAGGTCGTGAATTGCGGCAGCTGGTCGGCCACTTTATTTTCTGCGCGCTGGTGCGGCGCCCTGCCCTTGCCTGCCTGCAAGCCGTTGCTGTTTTTCCCAACCATCCTGTGGTGTTGGGTCCTCGTTTTGAAGAGACGGTGCCCCGCGTTCCTCTCCTCCTCCTCCCCCCCTCCTCCCTCTTCCCATCGTCATCATCATCGTCATCATCATCGTCGTCGTCGTCATCATCATCATCATCATTATCCTCGTCATCATCATCGTCATCGTCACCCACGCCCATTTCGGCACACCCCTCATACGTTTCGTGGCCCCATAGGGAGCTCCACCGAAGGCCCCAGTGGCAGGGTCCGCATGCCTCCCCAGTACCCATTTCGGCACACCCCTCACACGTTTCGTGGCCCCATAGGGAGCTCCACCGAAGGCCCCAGTGGCAGGGTCCGCATGCCTCCCCATTACCCATTTCGGCACACCCCTCACACGTTTCGTGGCCCCATAGGGAGCTCCACCGAAGGCCCCAGTGGCAGGGTCCGCATGCCTCCCCACCACCCATTTCGGCACACCCCTCACACGTTTCGTGGCCCCATAGGGAGCTCCACCGAAGGCCCCAGTGGCAGGGTCCGCATGCCTCCCCACCACCCATTTCGGCACACCCCTCACACGTTTCGTGGCCCCATAGGGAGCTCCACCGAAGGCCCCAAGGCCCCAGGCAGGGTCCGCATGCCTCCCCACCACCCATTTCGGCACACCCCTCACACGTTTCGTGGCCCCATAGGGAGCTCCACCGAAGGCCCCAGTGGCAGGGTCCGCATGCCTCCCCACCACCCATTTCGGCACACCCCTCACACGTTTCGTGGCCCCATAGGGAGCTCCACCGAAGGCCCCAGTGGCAGGGTCCGCATGCCCCCCCACCCATTTCGGCACACCTCTCGCACGTTTCGTGGCCCCATAGGGAGCTCCGCTGAAGGCCCCAGTGGCAGGGTTCGCATGCCTCCCCACCACCCATCTCGGCACACCCCTCACACGTTTCGTGGCCCTATAGGGAGCTCCTTCGAAGGCCCCATAGGGTCGCCGCGCAGCACGGGGGAGCTATCCGTTTACTTCGAGTCGCAGTGGACGACCCCCGCGCGTCGATGGGATTCCCTCGGGATGACCAGGCCGCGTCGGTGGGGACTCCCCAGCCACTTTCGAGCGGCTCCGCCTGCGCAGCGCACTCTGCGTGGCTCGCTATCGGCCCGGAGGCAAACATGTCACCCCTCGTCTCTCGCTCCTCTTGCTTCCTTTTGCTTCTTGACCGCGGGCCCCCCGGTCTCGTCTCTGCCGCTGCTGACCTGCCTTCGACATCTACACGGTGTCTCCGCCACCTCTTCCTGCGTGCCCAGTAACAGGTCTCATGATGCGATGATGATACTGATGTGTTGGCTCGCCCCAGTGAGCTCTCCTCCTCCGCCCGCCACCTCCTGCCCGCGCTGCCCTGTGCCTCGTCCATGCAGTGGCGCGGTGCCTATGAGAAGAGGGGCCTAGTTTGCGTGCCCCCTCCTTCGTCTCATATCCGCGCGGTGCTCGTAGCTGCATATGGTTGGGTCCTTCGCCAGGCTATTTTCTCAGAAGTACCCCCAGAAATACCACAAAGTGAGGCCCCCTTGGTCCGCCAGGAGCTGCGTTGTGCCCGGGATCTTCTCGCGCTGCAGGCCCGTCCCTTGCGGCGCATTTGGTCGTCCTGCGCAGTGGCAACCGACGCCTCCGAGCGAGGGCGCGGAGTCGTCGAGAGCTTTCTACCCGAGGCGAGTCTCCAGGATATTCGGAGATGGAGCGGGAGGTGGAGGTTCAAGAAAGGGGTATCGGGAGAGAGCGCTCGCGTTGGCGCAGGCATGTGCGCCCCGACCGTCGTGGCGCATGGGGTCCGAGGAAAATCTACGTCACCGCCTCCTGTGCTATCAGGCCTCATGGACCCCGCTACGAGTTCCCAGAGGCCCCGCAGTTTCCGAACTTCGACGACATGAACACCTACGAGACCCCGAGGCGCCCAGATACTATCACCCCCGTGAAGGCGCATGACAATGATGAGATTATCGCAGCCCCCTTAAAGGATCCAGAGGAGAATGTAGGACATCAAATAGGATGTCAACGTGGGGCCCCGAACCTCCAGAGACCCGATGAAGCCTCAATGTCCCGTAACTTCCCAGGCGATCGAAGGGCACCTGGACGCATGTTCCCTAGCCTTGCCATTCCGGACGACAAGCTCTTGGGCGTGTCTTGGGATGCGGTTGACGATGGCGCATGGGAGAGGAAGGGGCCCATTGCTGTCTTGGAAGGAAGGGCCCTTGCGTGGGCTCTCAAGCGCCGCCGCAGGAACCTTTGCAGTTTTGACAAACGGGTCCTCTTCATCACTGACTCCATGCGAGCCATTTTGGCTTTGTGTAAGGGGGGGTGGGGGGTGGGCAGCTCTGCTGGGCCGTGCTCGGTCTATCGCCAGTGGGCCGCGCTATGTCTGGCGAATCGCGTCTCTCCTGCTCTGCGCTGGCGCCCCTCCGAGTGGAACCCCGCTGACCGACCGTCTCGCGCCGCGTATGCTAGCCGTGAGGAACGCGCACCTGGGGCCGAGCCTCGCGAGACGAAGATCGTCGAGAGGACCTGGTCCGCTTCTGGAGCTCTGCCTGGCAAGACGACGACGAAGGCTGCTGTGGAGTCTTAGACAAACGTCAACCCCACTCTAGCAAGAACTTGGCGCCCCAGCCCAGCGCGGGAGAGCCCCCCGAACGAGGCCCAAACAGTGGCCGAACATTGGCCTGATATGGGCCAAACACTTCCCAAATCTGAGTGGGGCGCAAGAGCCGTGATGGCGCAAAATAAACCATGGCAGGCTATCGTATCTGCAACTGGTTCGTCGGGCCCTCGCGGTGCGGTCTGTCTCGGTGCCGAGATATTCGGGCACTTCGGCGTCGCGCTCGGCCCTGGCATTCTTGTCGCCATCGCGTTGCGCGCCATTGCCGCGCCCGTCTCGCTGCGCCATCTCTCCCTTGCCGAGCTTCGTATTCTAAGCTATTCCTCTGTTTCCTCCGCCCCAGGCGTCAGCAATATCATGTGCGCAGCAACCATCACTCCAGGTAAGCTGTCTCGCCATGCCAGTGTCGCCACGGCCGACGACATCGTTCTAAGGTCATCTCGCGACAAGATCCTTTCAGAATCCGTTCGAATCCTTTCGAAATCCCCATCCCCTCAACATCCCTTCAAAATCCCCTCAAAATCCCCTCGTCGCCCTCGCAAGTGGGCCGAATCCCCCCGTCGCCCTCGCAAGTGGGCCGAATCCCGCATGTGGGCGCAAGTGGGCGCCCGAGAAGCTGGGCGACGTCGTCTGGCGGCGCGCGCCCGCGCATGTTCGGATGGCCCGAAGGGCAGCCTTGCGGGTGGCATCCCACGGCGCCGAGGCGCGAGGTGCTCGGACAGTGCTGGAGATGCGCGCGGTGGCTCCCGGCACGAAGCGCCAGTGCAACAAGATGCGGGGGGGCCTCCAGGCGTGGGCGGAGCACCGCATGCTGCCACTTGCCCCTCCCAGCGCGCTGGACGGGGCGCTGGCCGAGCACCTGGAGTTCTTGTATCTCGAGGGCCACGACGCAGGGATGGGGGCGAAGCTGATCGCGGCCGTGGGGTTCTTCAACCCCGAGGTGTCGCGCCACGCGGCCTGCCAGCTGCCGCGAACGCGCCTCGCCGCCCAGGGATGGATGCGCCTCTCGCCACTGCGGGCAAGGCTGCCGATCCCCCTGGAGGTGGTGGCCGCGATCGCGTGGCTATGCGCGGTCGCGGGGGGCGGCGGGCGGTCGCGGGGGCGCTTCTCGCTGCGACTTGCTACCTGCGGCCCGGCGAGCTGGCA